AATATACCTTGCTCATAGATTTGAAGAATTAACATTGTTAAAATGTTCATATTACCCAAGGCAATGTACAATCAATCCCTATCAAAATACCCATGGCATTTTTCACAGAACTAGAACAAAGAATCCTAAAATTTGTGTGGAACCACAAAAGATCCAAATAGCCAAAACAACCTTGAGAAAGAATAAAGCTGGAGGCATCATACTGCCTGATTTCAAAACATACTAGCCCAGAAATAACCATGTATATATGGTCAATTAATTTATGGTAAGAGGCAAGAATATACAACAGAGAAAAGACAATTTCTTCAATAAAGATATTGGGCTCAGCACATCTTTATTACTCAAAATAGGAACCAGTAAAATCAACACATTTTTGCCAGTGAGAAATAATTATTTCTGTAACATAAAAATTTGTGCTTTGGGATTCAATAAACTCTTGGAAAGCATTTTCTGCCTCCTGCTCATTGTGGAAGCATTTTCCCTGCAAAAAGTTATCAAGATGCTTGAAGAACTGGCAGTTGGTTGGCAAATGGTCAGGTGAATATGGTGGATAAGGCAAAACTTCATAGCCCAATTTGTTCAACTTTTGAAGTGATGGCTGTACAATGCGTGGTCAGGCGTTGTCCTGAAGAATTAGGCCTATTCTGTTGATCAATGCTGGCTGCAGGTCTTGCGGTTTCTGGTGCACCTCATCGATTTGCTGAACATACTTCTCAGATATAATGTTTTCGCCAGGATTCAGAAAGCTATAGTGAATCAGACCAGCAGCAAACCACCAAACAGTGACCATGACCTTTTCCTGGTGCAAGTTCGGCTTTGGGAAGTGTTTTGGAGGTTCTCCTCAGTCTAACCACCGATCTGGTCATCATCAGTTGTGTAAAATCCACTTTTCATGGCGCATCACAATCTGAGAAATGGGTTCATTGTTGTATAGAGTAAAAGACAACATTTCAAATTGACAATCTTTTTGATTTTCAGTCAGTTCATAAGGCACCTACTTATCGAGCTTTTCCATCGTTCCAATTTGTTTCAAATGCCAAATGACCTTAGAATGGTTGTTCTTTGACACCTTCTAGTATAGCTCTAAGAATATAGCTTTGATGATTGCTCTCATTTGGTCACTGTCAGCTTCTGATGGCCAGCCACTACCTGGCCATCTTCAAGGCTCTTGTCTCATTTGCAAAGATTCTTGAACCACCACTGCACTGTACATTTGTTAGCAGCTCCTGGGCCAAATGCATTGGTGATGTTGAGTTGTCTCCACTGCTTTGTGACCCATTTTGAACTCAAATAAGAAAATTGTTCCAATTTGCTTTCTTCTAACATCATTTTCATAGTCTAAAATACATATAAAATACATAGCAAGTAATGTCATTAGCAAAAAAAACATAAAGCAAGCAATGCTCATTAAAATGATGTATAACATTTAAGAATGTATTCTAGTATCAAACAGCAAGATTCAACAATGCAAAACCACAATTACTTTTGCACCAACCTAATTTTTAAAAAAAGTGTTGGAGAGAATGAGGAGAAAAAGGAATACTTGTGCTACATTGACGGGAATGTAATTAGTGAAAAGTGAAAGCCGCTCAGTCCTGTTAAACTCTTTGCGACTCCATGGACTAATTCTCCAGGCCAGAACACCGGAGGAGGTAGCTATTCCCTTCTCTGGGGGATCTTCCCAACCCAGGGATGGAATCCAGGTCTCCCGCATTGCAGGTGGACTCTTTACCAGCTTAGCCACAGTGGAAGCCCAAGAATACTGTAGTGGGTAGCCTGTGCCTTCTTCAGGGGAACTTCCCGATCCAGGAATCGAGCCAGGGTCTACCTGAATTGCAGGCGGATTCCTTTCCAACGCTATCAGGGAAGCCCTGTAATTGGTGAAGCCACTATAGAAAACAATAGGAAGTTCCCCAAAAAGTTAAAAATAGAACTACCATTAAGATCCAGCAATCCTACTTCTGGGTAATTATCTGAAGAAAACAAAAACATTAAACTTGAAAATATATATGCACCCCAATGTTCACTGCAGCATTATTTACAATAACCAAGATACAGAACCTAAGTGCCCATCAATAGATAATGGGAAAATGATGTGACACATATGTACAGTGTAAATATATAATATTAACAAATTCAGCCATAAAAAAGAATAAAATCTTGTCATTTATGACAACATAGAAGGACCTAAAGGGTACTTTGCTAAATGAAATAAGACAGAAAAATACAATTATTCTATGATTTCACTTATATGTGGAATCTAAAAAACAAAACAGAAAGAGACTCACAGATACAGAAATGGTTGCCAGAGGGAAAAGGGGTGGGTGGGTTGGGAATCAGCCAAAATCGGTGAAGGGGATTAAGAAGTAAAGACTTCTAGTTATAGACGAAATTTAAATCACTGGGATGTAATATGCAGCATAGGAAACAGAGTCAATAATATTGTAATAACTGTGGTGATAAACAGCAACTAGTTAACAAGGTGACCATTTAAAATGTATGTAAGTATTGAATCACTATGATGCACACATGAAACTAATACAATACTCTGTCAATTACATTTCAATTAAAAAAAAAGAACCACAGGGGATCACTGTAATAAATGACACTCTTAATGATGATTCCAAATTACCATTACACTGTATTCAAAAAATTTTATTTAAGTAATAAAGTACTTACTATACATTTGAAATATAGTACTCAAAAAGATTAAGCTTTTGTCAGCTGAAAGATTTCCTTACACGTCTTGCTGAGCCTCATTTTTCAACAGTGCAGAATAAGCCCCTTCTACAGAAGGACAGAGATAGGGAAGCACAAACAACTTTAATGGCTCACGGTAATTAAGAAGGAAGCTTGAATCTCTGACTGAAAAATGAAAATAATTACAAGTGTATCTATACAGAAAACACAAGTTTTCAAGAGCTTAACATCAATTAGCTGCTGTCAAAATAAATATTTAAGGAAACCAAATATAAAAATGCTTAACAGTGGGGCACAAAATATGACAAAGAGGGAGGACAAACCAAGAGAATGAATGAAGGAAAGCGAGATGTAAATATCAGAAGTGTTTTTACAAATAGGGATTCATATCAGAGAAAACAAACAAAAATTTGTCTAGGATATGACCAATGAGGCAATAGAAAGCAACCAAAAGTCAGTTATAAATCAAAAATGACAACCAAAATCCCAGGGAGTCTTAAATTATTTAATCCAGACATTATCTAACCCCTCAGAATTGCTCGGTGCTAACTATGCTGTTCATCATTCTCCATTAGAATGAAATGCAAAACACACACATTACTGGTTGAAGAGGGTGTTTCAGAGCTAATTCACCCTTTGAAGGTCAGGATCAGCAGTTGTGTTGTGTTCACATAATACATTTCTTGATATGGAAAAATAAAATTGCAAAGAAGAAATTAAAGTAAACTTTATTTTGAAACAATCAGCCAAATTTCAAACTTCAAATAAATGGATCTTAAAATGTTCACAAACTTCAGACTCTCCATATTCTAACCTAATGGTTACCAAAAGGGACAAAGCTGGCAAGTCTCAACAGTAAGGCCCTTCCCATGTTTTCAATATTATAAGTACATTAAATTTCTAGAAAGACTTATTAAAGAATTCTACTTCTTAGAAAAATGTTTTTAAATGATCCAATCTACCTTGCTGATTCACAAATAAGAACACTCAGACCACAGTAACCTTCCCAGGTCTCCCCATTCTCAGATGAGGTCCTGTCCACTACTTTGTAGCCTTGGCAGTCCTGGAATCATAAGTGAGCCCTTTTCATTGCTACCATTAAACTTAATGTCACAGCCTTTTGTATCATCTGGACAAACTCTGTTCAAAATCAAGTAATTACCAACTTCTGCCCTCCCAGAAACCTAAACATGAAAAACAATTTATGAAGAAAGAAATTAAGACCTATGAAAAAATTATGTTAGGGATATATGTTAAGGTCTATCAGAAATACTGTATTCTAATTCACTTATATTTGACTAAAAATTTGTTAGTCTGGTGAGACTTCCTAAGAAATAGTGAAATTAAAATGTGCTAGAGAAAATGTTCTACACAGATAGATACATATACTATTAACACAGTTATAAGCTGATTATTAATAAGCAAGTATATACAATAAAATATCATGAGCCCAAAGTTGATTTTCACCAAAAAACTGTAATGTGAAGATTCAAATCATGATCTCCTGATTAAAAGACTTTTTTTCTTTTTAGAAAAGGGGGATAAAAATGTACGAACAGACATCCAAGTAAATTATAAGTAACTAAAACACAAAGGTAGAAAGCAAAAGAATTTTAACACCTATGGTGGCACATTTAGACCAGGTAAACTATTTTCATTATAATAAAACCAGAATAAATTATTTGACAATATTGTCTACTTACTAAACAAAGGCAAATATTTTTGCAGGTGGCAGGTGTGGATTTCTTTTCATCAAAGAACATTAAAAGCGAGAGACACAATGATACCACTTGTAGATGTAACCAACAGTTCTGATACCATCTCATTAATCTTTGATATCTGATAGCATGAATAATGACTTCCCAGGTTGTGCTAGGGGTAAACAATCTTCCTGCTGACGCAAGAGATGCGGGTTCTATCCTTGGGTCCAGAAGATCCCCTGGAGGAGGCAAATGGCAACCACTCCAGTATTCTTGAGAGGAGAATCCCATGGACAAAGGAGCCTGGTGGGCACAGTCCATGGGGTTGCAAAGAGTAGGACATGACTGAGCATCTGAGCGCAATGTGAATAGAAAGACATGATGAATCAACACATATGCTAGTTTTAAAAAGAAAAATTCTTTAAAGCAATCTCAGCGCTCAGCATCTAAATGGTAAATACAGAATGAATTCCTAATCTGGCAAACAATATATATATTTTTTTTAATTCAAGGGTAAAAAGTATATGAATGAGTCTACCTATTTGTAAAAATGTGACTGATGAAAACAGTGCAATCACTAGGTTATTACACTGTGCGAGTTCAGTTGTCAAGAGGCAGCAACTCAAAGGACATCACACAATCTATAAACCAGCTGGAAGTAGCCATCCAGACTTTGCCCTGCCGAACCCTTTCTGGGCGATGATTAGACAAGTCCTCATAGATGATATACTGTGTGCAGAAGCGCTGATCAGAATCAGGTTTGGCATGGTACGCGACTGTATTGATGGTTTGAGTCACATCACTGTCTGGCTTGGGCTTTCTAATGAGGATCTGGCCCCCACCGGCAGCGACAAGCTTAATTAGGTTGTCCTTTGGATGGTGTTTGAAGGTTCCCCCAAAATAGAAGTAACATCCATCAAACAGCTTTGGCAACTGAAAAAAACAAACAAAAAAAAGCTCATTAAAATCAGACAAAAATATTTTAAAACACTGCACATGAAATAAGGGAAATAAAAAGTCATAAGAAGTTAAGAAGGTATTTAATGAAGTGCAAGGACAAGACACACTTCAAGTGAACTCTTTGGGTTAAGTGACTCTCTGGGTTAAGAAAAATACTCATGAAAACAAAGGTTTCCTATCATTTTTCTCCTGAAGACTCTGGCCCTTTTCACTCTTCTCACATTTTAGGTGTGCTATGAATGTGTGTGTATATGTGTGTGTAGTACACATCCACATTTAAAATCTGTACCTCAAACTTCTTGTATCAGAATGTTTATTCATACTTGGTAGGACTTAAAGCCTCAAGAATTCCTTCCTACACTATCTAAAATGTGCTTTGAGTATACCAAGCTAAACTTAACTGTAAGTGTCACAGCTTGTCCATGGGGCTTCCCAACCCTGCCCATCCACACTGAGGTCTCTATATACTACCAACCTAGGTTCCCCCTGAGCAGCATGTGGGAGGGTGGCCTCCAGGGTTCTAGAAACATTTTCCTTAGAGCACAACACGTTAGAAAGCCACAGCCAGAGATCCATTTAGCTATGAGACACATTTCTGTGTGCTTTACAGAAAAAGCTTCACAAGTCCCTTCTACAAAAATTCTTCTTCAACATTTTTAATACACTTGTATGTCAACAGGATAATGGAATTTTGTCCACTAAAACCTCAATATGTGGTAATAAAGACACAGTTAACCAAACCTGGGCAGCAGCTCTGTCTTCTCTCAAACTGCTTCCTGTGTCTAAGACTTCCCTCAGATTCTGAAAGGTTTATGGGAATGTTTGAAATGCCCAAAATGCAGTAACCGTATGAAATTATTACCTTCTGGATTTTACTGCTCACTGTTACCATGTCTCAGAATCAAGCACTTGAAATGAGCACAATTAAAATTTTAATCAGGGGTTTCCCTGGTGGCTTAGTGGTAAAGAATCCGTCTGCCAAGGCAGGAGACATGGGTTCGATCGCTGAGTGGGGAAGATCCCACACGCTGTGGAGCAAATAAGCCAGTGTGCCGCGACTATTGAGCCTGGGCTCTGGAGCCCGGGATCAGCAACTACTGAAGCCCGTGTGCCCTAGAGCCTGTGGTCCACACAAGAGAAGCCCGCACACCACAACTACAGAGTGTAGCCCCCTGCTGGCTGCACAAAAGCCAGAAAAGCCTGCACAACAATGAGGACCCAGCACAGCCAATAAACAAATAATTACAAAATTTTTTAATCAGTCACCTGTACTTGTTAAAAGGGCAGGAGAAGTTTTTCCTGATGGTAATAACAGTATTAATTTATGAAAAGAACAATGAAAGTAGAATTAAAAGGAAAATACCAGCTGTTCTCTGTTGAGCCTGCTTTTCTGTGGTCCTTCGGGAACTTCATACTTTTCTTCCTGTTCATATCCTTTGCTTTGCAGACATGCTTTCACCCCTGGCAAAAACCAAGGATAAAAGCAAAATAAATATCAAGTGAAAACTATTTCTTTCACATTGAAATGAAGCCATTTACCTAAACGATTTTTCCTCTTCATGGTTAAAGTATTGCTCTGAAACAGAAAAAGAAACCTAACTTATGCCAAAACAAAACGTAATAAAACTGATCTTTCCTTCAGAAGACTAAGCAATGAAGCAGTACTGAATACAAATTTGAGTTTTCTTTGTGAAAAACATAAATCAATATATTATTCCATGTACAAAAGTAAAAATCTAAATTTTAGCTTATGGCCATTATCAAAATTAGAGTGAATAAAAAGTCCCATGTTAAGTTCAGCTCACAATGATCTGACCCCAAGATCTAACCATCTGCCTCACTCATCCTGGCAATCCCATGTCTAACCTCCTGTTAGACTATAAGTGATCTGACATTCAGGAAAGCACTAGAGTCCAGAGCACCTCACTTAAGCTGGTCGCCTAACAGGGTTCTATAGCACTTGTTAAAGTAAACAGCAAAGCAGAGTCTGCGATGTGTTTGGAATTGACAGGTACACACTGCAGTCACCAAGGGATGACTGGTGAGTATTTCAAAGAGAGCTGCTTCAAGGAAATCAGACCTGAATATTCATTGAAAGGACTGATACTGAGGCTGAAATTCCAATACTTTGGCTACCTGATGTGAAGAACTAACTCACTAGAAAAGGCCCTGATGCTGGGAAAGATTGAAGGCAGTGGGAGAAGGGGACAACAGAGGATGAGATGGTTGGTTGGCATCACTGACTCGATGGACATGAGTTTAGGCAAACTCCAAGAGTTGGTGATGGACAGGAAGCCTGAAGTGCCGCAGTCTGGGGGTCGCAAAGAGTCGGACACGACTGAGCAACTGAACTGAACTGACAGGTGCTTCAGTTGAGATGTTCCAAGATACCATATAGTGTACCAAAAGTCAGTATTTTAATGACTGAATACTCCATCTCTTTAAAAGCATAGCTTTGTCAAGAGACTGAATTTTTCTTAATATGGAGCTATGAATGCATATTACAATTCAATGCTCAACCCTGGCATATCTGTTATTCCCTATCATGTGATTCTTAATTTTTGCTAGTGTTGCCTGTGTTTTGGGGCCCCTTTCCCCCAATGTTTTCAATACAAGAATCCTATTTAACTAACTCTGCTATGCTGAATCCTATTCTGATCAATAGCTTATATATATGATGGTTTTATAAAAATTGATTTTTTATATGTAATTAAAGATTATATTTTAAAAATATAATTTTAATAACCACTCACAGGGTATAAAAAACTATCTTTCCAATGAGGCTAATACTAAGCTATCAATTTTACCATTTATCAAAAATGAGTTTCAAAATAAAAATTATGACTAGGTCAAAATCATACCAGAAACACTAACAGTGTGCTTACATGACATCCTATATTAAATATCAATATAAAAAACATTACCAATATAACCAAATAACTGACTTACCTCAGACTTATTATTTCACATATAAATTATTCCTTTTACTTTATGTCACTTAAATATGTAGCCCCCTTCTCCTAATGATATTTGCAGAGCATTTATACTGGTTTCTTTAGATGAACTGTACATGCCAGTGCATAAAGCCAAGAACTGAACATTGAATACCCCTATGATATCTAACTATAACAAGTAAACAGCTAGTGTATAACTACAGAAATACATAAATACACCGTGCCTATACTGGCTGCTTACCCACCTTATGGGTTTATTTGATTGGTTATTTAAACTATAAAAAAATCATACTAAAATTACTTTAATTGACCCAAGGGATGTGCCAGCATTAGTCAATTAACAGAATATAGCCTTAACAGATAGCAGAATGCAACAAGCATGGCATCAGGAGAGATGAGATGGCAGACACCAAGAGGGCAGCTTTTTCAGTGTAAATATGCCTCAAGCCATAAAACTTCCAGCCTTACAGTAATTGTTCAGTAAACGTCTGTAAAGATAGTCAGAAAAATCCAAGGCTCTAATTACAATTGTTGAGCTAAATGAAGAATGCATTCCTCTGATATTCTCTTATTACAAAGAGAAACATTTTGCCAACTCTCTCTGCCACATAATATCAACTAAAGAAGGAAAATATAGCTTTCCCCCCCACTGAAAACTAAGGAACAGTTTCCAGTTCTATGATAACATGGTAGAATTATTGCTACATAGAAAACATGGAGAATTTTTTGAAGCTTGGGTGAGAATAATGCCTACAAGGGCCTTTCAAATTACATAATCATGTTGGGTATCTTGTGTTAAGTGGGAGGAATTATGGAGACTGTGATGGGAATATGCACATCTTACTTAAAGACACAAAAATTAAATGATTATGATGAGCTAAATCAAATAAATTGTACCTGTTTTGGACTTAAGACTGCCAATTTGAAATTCCTGATGCTTCATCTAATCAAATTCTTCATTTCACAGGTAAAGGAAAGTTAAATTCTTTAAGTGACATAAGTGAGATAAAAACTCAGATATCTTCCAACTCCCTAGATCAGTTTTTTCCTATCTTTATTTTATTAAAAAAATAAAGCATCTTAGGAAATGCCAGGTACTCTCTACTCAGGTTTAATATATTGTATCTATCTTAAAATAAATGACCTAACCACTAAACAGATGACTAAATAGGAGGATCCCTCTTTTTAAGAGATTAGCCAAAAAGTGTACCAAAATGTCAAAAACCGCTGACTACCTGGGAGGTTGGGAGCAGGGAGAATAATGCATTTGACTTTGTCTTCAGTGAATCAATGAGTTTGTTTAATTTGAAACCAAAGCTGCCACTCTCTCATTTGTACCCTTTGAGTTTCAGAATAGTAATATTTGTCAGTAGACATTTATAATTACACTCCATATCAACTTTCTAGTTGACTTCTTTTGCTATAAACCAATTGAACAGATTTACTACAACATGAAAAGAATACTTTAAACTTTCAGTAACTTAAATGGTGATATTTATCTAATCCAATTTCATTTATCCAAAGCAATGAAATGGACTAATCTACAAGCCAAAATACTACTTAAAGTTACTACTGTAACAAACCTAAATACATAATCATTAAGGTAATTATTATTAAGATAATTATTAATAATAGAAAATAATCAAAGTTTTAATTATTCAGTACTGTAAGTTAGTTAACCAAACTGCAGCAAAAATTATTAAATCTATTTCCCATATTCAACAATCAGAACTTTCAAAATACTCCTAGTCATAAACTTATCTAAAGTAATAATATATGCTGTAATCCTTTATCTCTATAAAGACTTTAAAACAGGCCATTTTCACCAATTTAATATTTCCTTACTGTATAGCAGAGAGACAACACTTAATCTCCTATGATAAACCACAATGGAAAAGAATATTTAAAAAAAAGGATGTATACATACATATAACTGAATCACTTTGCTATAAAGCAGTAATTAGCACAGTGTAAACCAATTATACCACAATAAAAATACTTTCTAAAACTGAACAAATTATATTTTGTATTTGTAGTTAATAAAGTCAATATTATTTCATCATCTGCAATAGTTCAGCAGAAATAAAAATCTATCCAAGATCACTGCTTAACTTTCTCAGCTAAATAGGAGGATCTGAATCCAGACTGAAATGACTTTACATGAGTAACTTACATTGCTTATATAAACATAGGAGATTTCTGAATATGTCAGAAAGAGACATACTTTAAAATGTGTCAAGCCACTACCCTTGTAAAATTTATGCTTTATAACATCTTTACTTGTCACATGTATTTTAAGACTGTGACCAAAGCCATCATTTTGCAGAGACATAGGAATGAACTAGCTATCTTAGTAAAACGAAAAGATTCTTTTCAGTTCAGATGTATTCCTGATCATGTGTACCATTTCAGGTAAACTTTCCTTGTGTCCTGATTTTATTATTTTTTGATATAGAGGTAAGCAGCCCAATTCCCAAACTACTGCTTAACTCAAAGTCATTAACTCTAACTCATTAAGGCAGCTCCGGCTACCTAAGCAACATCTGGAACCTGCATACTAATGCAGCTTATGAATTCTGGGATATGATTTTTTTTTTTAAAAAAAAGTCTTGTACCATCCAGAAATGTACTTCTTTATTCTAAATCTCCAGTAACCACTCTTGCCTCCTACTTCATAAAACCATACAAATCTATGGATGTGTATTTTCATTTTAGCTACATGAGCCACTGATGATGTTCATTCATTTATATTAAGCTTAGTCACTTTTCCTAGTTTTAGAAGACAAAAAAGGATTACACAAATGGGAGTAGGTTCCTGAATCCACAGCTACACACAAATGATTACAGAATTCAATGAAGACAGAATAAAGCTTTAAAATGGAAATCTGTCAAAAGCTCCAAATTCCAAATGTCCAAAGGGGAAATGATCTCTCGATGAAGCCACAGAACGTGCTCACTCTCTTCAAAAGCCAGAGCAATAAACAAACTCTTAAAGAACTGTTATTCTTCTGGAGCCAGTGGCTATTTGCATTGACAATTAGAATTAAATATTACTCTCAGCCAACGCTAAGTGGTATCCTAAAAAAAAAAAATAAAAATACAATATCAAAAATTTTATGTCAAAACCAAAAATCCTAATAAATATGTCATTAGATCCAAACTAGGCACTAATATAACTCAAGAAAATTGCATATTAGTAAATTTCCTTTCTGATTCTATTAAAAATGAACACCCAAGTTGTGAAATCAAAACAAAACAGAAAATTATTTTTTAGGTGCTTTTCTAAGTGGGGTTTTTAGTCAAATAGGCTATCATATCACTAAACTTTAGACAAAAAGAAATTGTTTTTAAGAGGAAACTTTCTACAACAATGACAAAAATGGGAAAACAACTTTTATTCTCACTGTAATTTTTAAAAAATTGGATGGCAAGTAAAAGAGCTAAATCCAGTATCATGAAATTTCACAGTGAGGATGGAAGGACAATAAAATGATGGCTGAAAACATA